GTTTTGAAGCAAAAACATATCGATGTCCTCTTTAACACCTTCCACACTTGCATACGTTTTTCCTTATTAAGATGGTGTTGCAGCGAACGAAAAAGATGGTAATCTGATGGTGCCATATCTGGAGAATGTGGTCGGTGGTGGCGAATTTCCCAACCCAACTCCATAATCTTGTGTTGCGTCAAACGTGCCACATGTGGACGTGCATTATCGTGGAGAAGAAGAACACCTTTCCGATTGACGGTTGAAGAGCGTTTCTGATGAAGGGCTTGATTTAAACGTTCTAGTTGCTGACTATAGATCTTTGCATTGACAGTTCGCTGTGGATTGAGGAGTTCGAAATGAATTACTCCTTTATGTCCAACCAAATGCAAAGCATCACTTTCAGCAGATGGAGTCCAGGTTTTGGTATCGGAAGTGGTTTTTGTCTAGACCTGGGTCATTATTTTTGGCGTTTAATATTCGCATAGAGAATCCAGTTTTCATCACCGGTGACAATTCTGTCCAAAAATGGTTCATGCGCATTACGCGCCAGAAGAGACGAAGCAAAGTTCATACGTTGGAAACGATGATCATCGGAGAGTTCGTGAGGCACCCAAACACCTTCTTTATGGAGTTCTCACATATTCCTTAGATGTTTACGTATTGTTTCATGAAAGAAATGCAATTTCAGGGCCATTTCACGAGTGTGTTGCCTTGGGTTAGACTCATAAAGCGTTTTCAGAGCATCAATATCAATTCCAACATGTCGGCCCCTGCTATCACAGTTGTTAAGGCTAAAGTCACCTGAACGACATTCGCTGAACCGTCGTTGACACTAACGAACGTTCAAACATTTCCATAATTGTTTTTAAATATTCTTTGTGGCTACAGAGGTGTTTTTTCCCTTCTTGTATTCAAACATCATTACATGCCAAATGTGTGTCTCGTCGTGTGCCATCACTATGAGGGATTAGAGTATACTAAATTTTACACATTATATAGACTACACTAACGTGACGTTTAAGCGGTTCGTTTAAATTTTATACATAATGTACGTTTTTTGGAAGGTGATTAATTAAAGTGTTCCGAAACGCGACATCAGTTTCTTGATGACCTAATATTTGCTCCTCCTACCATTTAGTTAAGTTATATATTTATATGTCTCATTTACCTCCTAGTGTATATTAAATAATAAGGAAGTATATTTTTTTATATATAATAAGAAACCATCTCTGGTGGGTCAGAGGTAAGTTTATGGACCTACAATGCCAAAATCCGGGTTTCGATTACTCGCGATGGACAGAGTGTAGATAACCGATTGTGTATCTTTACGCTAAAATACAAACAAACAAACTCAAGAAACCATAGATGAAACAGACACATGTTTCCCTAGCAATGATGTACGGATAGCTAGTTCATGTATGGTTGTGTAACCTCGTGGTTTGGCACGGAAATAAAAGCCTTTGATTTGAAGTTAAGCGAGCTTGGAAGGGGCAGTGAGACTGTAACACGTATTATAAATTTGTTTCTCATTAAAAGTGAAAACTTACTGCATATACTTCCTCGATCATTGTTTGAGGTATTCTTATGAAGTGTTCCATACTGTTCTGTAGTATAATCTTACGAATTAAATTTTTAATTCGTCTGGTTATTTTTACCATAATACGCTATTTTTATTATTATTATGCTGCGTTATTTGATAGACAAAATTATTGTTTATCTAACGTTTTTTTTTATTTATGTTTTTGAGTTTGAACTATTTAGATTAAAGTCCTAGCGAGGTACCAGTTAGTATTCACTAATTAATTTCTAAAATTTGTAAAAGTGTCGCGGTTTAAAAAAACTTGTAATATTGGTAGTAACGTGGTTGTGTAACAAACCCAGCAATAACCTACTAAACCCATGTTTTCTCTTTTAACTAAATTATAGCATACTGATAATTTAGTTAATTGTCTCCAAAACTAAGTTTATATATATAACGGAAGCGATTAATGTACTTACTTAATGTAATAAGGTACTTTGTTTCCTGAAACAGCTCGTTCCCATGGTTCTTCTACTGAAGCTGAAATAAGAAAGTTTCTAGGCTTTAAGTAACTTCATTTTAAGTTGTTTACTGTTAAGTTTTTAAATATTTAAGCAAACAAAATTTACTTTTCATAACTAACTTTAAGGCGACTTATTTTCAAAGTTATTTCCTATAAAACGGTAACAACTGTTTTCCATTACATTTTAAAACCCATAAAATGATATAAAACGAACATGATATACTTTACACGTTTTATTTTGTATTTGAAAAGTTAATAATAATGACTGTAAATATGATACTCATAATAAGTTTAGAGAGAATGTAAATGAAACATAACAGTCGTAGATTAATAACGAAAATAATAAACTACAACTAATACAAAAATACGTGAAACAATTTTCTTACAAAAGTTAGCAAGTTTTTTTTTTAAAAAACTCGAGCTAGTTCGCTTCTATTGGTTGAGTATGTTATATTAAAACAGTTTTGGAGCCTCACCACGTCGTTATAGTCCATGTCGCTCCGTCCTGTCATGCTCTATCTGACGGCCGTAATCTTGACAATAACCTTGCAGCGCGGTTTCCACTGCAAAAAGCTCTGTCGCAAAGTTGCATTGTCAAAAGCACACCATTACTCCGTGATTGCTTTCCATAATACATCTAGTGTACGAAGAGGATGGTTTCACAATGTCCTTTTGAAAAGTCATAGGCACTGTGTTTGGCGACCTGACCGGTATGTTTTCGTATGAAATAGCATGAATACCCATTTCACTTTCCAGATGTTTGGGGTATGCGATAACTGAATAGATATCTTGTGAAAGAAACTCGTGTACACGTGAGTTGTGTCTTTTTCTATTTAATATGTGCTATGCAGTTACAAAAAAGTACGAATTTAAATATTATAAAAATGAAATTAAAATAGAAATAATGAAGGACAGAGAACTCTCAAAACAAGACTAAAATCATTCAAGTTATAAATGAAGAATGATAGACGTATGGTTTGGATAACTAACTATAAAATACGAAGTCAAAAAGAGAAGAACTAACGCTACAAAAATGGTAAGTGATAAACAGATGTTTTTAAAGTTCACTATGTTTTGGGTCGGGACAATCTTCGTTTGGTGGTTTTAAACGTTGGAACTGAGCATCATACAACAGATCTAATGAAGCATACATGTGTTCAGTAAAAAAATCAATATTATTTTAAAATTAGGATCATATTAATATATACCTATATAAATGACTATTACATGTTGAGGTTTTAAATGTATTTCAAAGTTTTGAAAAAAAAGACCAATGATAATAGCAGGCAAGTAGGGCGCTGTACATTGTCTCGTGAATACAATGTCACTCTGGTGTCTAAAAATAATAATACAGAAATTCAAGATGATAAATGAAAAATAATTACACATTGTTAATGAAAAATGTATGTGAGGATACACACACACAAAACGATACATGTACGCATGTGCATAAGTATGCATCTCTCTCTCTCTCTCTCTCTATATATATATATATATATTCAGGTATATGTACAAACGTACACATATTGACACCCAAAAAGTTATAGAAAATGAAATCTTACACTTATTCTATTTGGGTGGATTTTAGGATGAATACTATATTAAACTCCAAATCAATAATCTTGAAGAATACAAAACCATTAGAGGCGCGAGACCTAATAGTGGAAAAACCAAAAGTATCTTTGTTGTACGTATTACCTAAGATAGACCTATAGTTTCTACATGTAACCGTCCAACAGTTTAGTTTGTTAGACGAAATCAAAAATAGCACCGAAGATCTTGAATCGTTCAATGAAACTGTTCTAACTACTTCTAATATATTACTATACACAGTGGATTTTATGTTCTAACTACTTCTAATATATTACTATACACAGTGGATTTTATGTTCTAACTACTTCTAATATATTACTATACACAGTGGATTTTATGTTCTAACTACTTCTAATATATTACTGTACAAAGTGGATTTTATGTTCTAACTACTTCTAATATATTACTATACAAAGTGATTTTATGTTCTAACTACTTCTAATATATTACTACACACAGTGGATTTTATGTTCTACCTACTTCTAATATATTACTATACACAGTGGATTTTAAGTCCTTATATACACCACACAATCATGGTCTTAAAGCTTTGAGGTTCTACCTCAATCAACGACAAGTCCTAGATTGTTTGTTTGCATTTAAGCACAAAGCTACACAATGGGCTATCTTTGCTATGCCCAACATGGGTATCAAACCCTGACATTTAGCGAATAAGCTCTCAAACTTATAGCTCAGTACCTGGGCCAAGTGCTAGTGCCATCAATAGAAACTAGTTGAACTAAGACTAGACTAGTTGAACTCGTCGTGACATAAAATGCCTCCTTTTTCAATGCTTCATTTTACAGACAAATAAATGGTGTAGCCATGGATATCAAGATGGGACCATCATTTGTGAACTTGTTTGTAGCTTACACAGAGCACGACATCTATCAAACTTACGATGGATCTATGTCTGTTTTATTGACGATATAATTAAAATTCCAACTTCAAACATAGAAGAGATCACTCTAACTTTAAGCATAGAAGTTAACATCCATCTATTATAAGATCTACCTACTCCCATCATTTCCTGGATTACAACTCTAGTCATCCTACCTCCCCTAAAATGCCATTCCAAAATCACAGTTTAAACACTTGCGTCGTATATGCAAATCCAAATCCGATTTTACCCAGATGGTTGATGAACTGTTTTTTCAAGATTAAAGGTTCTTCTATAGATATAACCAATTCAGCTCACAGAGGAGCTGAAGGAGCCGCCATAATATAACACTACAATGGAAGATGATAAATAATGGCAAAAATCAAGATCCGTTGATTTTAACATCTCATCCGCATAACATTCACGTTTTCAAAATAATTATACTCACGTTTGGGATCTTTCGAAACGACGAAACAGTGGGAGATACATTTAATTAATATTAATTTCCAATCAGAACAAACTATCCACTTAGTGCGAAACTGGTGGCTTAGTTCCATTCACCCGATGGGAAGAAATGAACTATTTTCTTTTATGTGTGTGCGTGCGTCAACACATGGTCGTGCACATGCAAAAATGTTTCATTTCTTTGTGTATACGCACATACATTTCTATTAGAACTATCTAATTATTCTTTATTTATTACAATTAATTTTCGTATTTTTATTTCTAGACACCAGGGTACTAGTTATCTTTCGAACTTCAGAAACGTGAACCTACTTACTTGTTACTGACAATTTTCAAACACTTTTAGATATTCTTTAAACCTTAACATATAATTATTATTTATATAGATATGTTAACATTATACCAATAGTAAAATATTATTGATTTGCAACAGATTCGCATTTATGCTTCTATAGATCTGTTGTATGATGTTCATTTCGAACGTTCTACGTCTGATAACCATTTGGGGGATCAAAGTTTCTGGTCCATCAAAGTTTAAAATTCCCAGAGGAGGGACATTGTAAACTTTAAAACATCTATTTATCATTTACCATTTTGTATGGTATACTTTTTTCCACCTTTTTTTGATATCGATTTAATTATACCACAGCGGTCCTTATATAAAGTAAAAATACGTCCATATTGAACAATCAACTCATTCACCAAAATATCGTAGACACGAAATAATACTAACATATCAGATTCATTGGATGAGCGTTCTTTAATATCACACCATATTTTTGGTGTATAGTATGTACTTTCCACACCATGCTATGAAGTTCCCAGAGAAATGTGGTAAATTACTGCCAACATATAATTATAAACTACGGGATAAATAACTTTTAAGTGAGAGCTCTACTGGAAGTGATTACAGATTTCCAGAACCATTCAAGGGCAAAAAAATATATTCTTTGAAGTAGGTTCAAGGAAAATGGCGTATGCTCTGTTTTTTGTTTTTGTTTTGTAATAAATATACATTGTAGTAGCTTTATTTACCTTTCAAAAACTCTTGTGCCGAGCTCTGGTCTTTCATTGCGGCTTGGAGCCTTTTACGCCGGTCCTCAATGGCTAGATGTAAAAGTCGCCACCTGGTGTTCAGTTCTTCAAGTCGATTAAGATTACCATGTGAGAGGAGAACATTGCAACCTGTTATGCGAGCTGCTGCTTCATTTACTTTATCTAGATGCTGTTGGAGTGGCATCACACGCTCTTTAAAATCCTACACAAAAGATTAATAATAAAAAACAACAACATGATACAGGCAGTCTAAATAAAATTCAGTTTTTGTTAAAACACTCCAGTTATTGATTTTCAGTAAAATTATCCCAAACCGGATTTTATCGGTTCTGTAACACTGACTGGTCATAAAGTACCGAGAAATTCTTAGCAATATTCATCATATACAGAGTAAAAATAACTCTTTTAAACTTGTAGATTAGGATAGAACAGACACTATAGTTACAAATTTACATTATTCGATACCTTCAAAAATAAAATAGGGCTCATAAGAAATGATTATTTCAATAACAGCATAGTAAGTGTTATTATTTCAATAACAGCATAGTAAGTGTTATTATTTCAATAATAGCATAGTAAGTTTTATTTCCTTAAAAGCCGAGTCTTGTTTTATTAAGTCGTGACTCGTATATTTTACACGTCTCTCTGTTATTACTGTTGTACAACACACCCGAATTGGAATATGTTAACATTTCATTGTGCTTTTTTTACATGTTAAAAGATCGATCGTTTTGTATAAAACCTTCTGTCTTCTATGGCATATAACATGGTGTCTAACTCGCGTGTGAAATTCAAGTAATTTGCTTGTTTGTTTTAGTGAAAAGCTACATAATATGAACATAGCCCGTTGTGTATCTTTGCACCAATAGAACAGCAACATCCTACATTATATTTGTTGTGGTGTCTAAGTGGTCTCAGAACTAACATGCTTTAGATTTACAATTTACAATCTAACTCGATGATAAACTGCTAAAAGAAAAATTATTGTGATACTCTACATAAAAATTCAAAATTTTATATTACGTTTGAAAACTTCATCTTGTCTATTGCAACAAAAACAAGAGGAACTTCACACCAGTAAACTCCATCTTGTCTACTGCAACAAAAACAAGAGGAACTTCACACCAGTAAACTTCATCTTGTCTACTGCAACAAAAACAAGAGGAACTTCACACTAATAAACTCCATCTTGTCTATTGCAACAAAAACAAGAGGAACTTCACACCAGTAAACTCCATCTTGTCTATTGCAAGTTCCTCTTGTTTTTGTTCACACCAGTACCTATTCTGGATTAATAACTGTTAAATCAATATCCCCAGTTCTTATCGAATTGGTTACAAGATGAAATGATCAACTACAAGGCTAGATTGAGGTGAGAAAGGAAGGACCTGCAACCTTTCATAAAATATTCAAAGAAGAATCATAACTTAAACATATAAAACTAGAATATCATGCAATGTTAAATAGCCAAAATTAAGGGTTAACTGAAGATATCAGGATTTTATATTGACCTCAATGTTCTAGAATTGATATATGAAACCGTCGGTACTTGATGAAATTCCATAATTACAGAATTGAGGGGGAAGAAAAAGACAATTTTACGTTTCACAAATACTTCATTTATTAACGACCATAATGATGCCTTTACTGTCGAAACCATGGTCGTTAATAAATGGAGTATTTGTGAAACGTACACTTGTCTTTGTTTTATTTTTCTCAATTCTGTTCTTTTACGGGACGTGTTGTTTTATTTGTTTTCAGTTTTAAATGAAGAGCTATTTGATGCTTTAAACTAGAGTTTCTAAGTGCCACTATCTGGGTTTATCACTCTCTACATTGTTTGTAAAATAAAATTATCACTCTCTACATTGTTTGTAAAATAAAATTATCACTCTATACATTGTTTGTAAAATAGAATTATCACTCTCTACATTGTTTGTAAAATAAAATTATCACTCTCTACATTGTTTGTAAAATAGAATTATCACTCTCTACATTGTTTGTAAAATAAAATTATCACTCTCTACATTGTTCGTAAAATAGAATTATCACTCTATACATTGTTTTTAAAATAGAATTATCACTCTATACATTGTTTGTAAAATAGAATTATCACTCTATACATTGTTTGTAAAATAGAATTATAGCTCTATACATTGTTTGTAAAATAAAATTATCACTCTATACATTGTTTGT